CACGGCTCCCGCCGGATACTTCCTCACAGTTTATTCATATGCCGCTCCTCGACACTCAGGAATCGCGCTCCTGCTACATATTGCCTGGCGGTTAAAGGAGAATTTACGCTTCAACGACCCGCCCGCTCGACCCGCCCGTCTGGGCCTGCCCGCCCGACCAACCCGTTAAGGACTGCAATCCGTCGCCGCTCGCTGCCCTTCGCCCGCCTTCGCTCGGTGCCCTTCGTGGCCCCGTTGCTGCCCTCAGTGGCCCCGTCGCTGCCCATTGTGGCCCCGCATTATATGCCCGTCGTGGCCCCCGCTCGCAGTCGCCCGTCGTGGCCCCATACGCATGCGTTTCTTCGTGGTCTCTCGCTGCCCTTCGTGGCCTTTTGCTACCCTCAGTGGCCCCGATGTCGCCCTTTGTGGCCCCATATACGAATGCCCTTCGCGGCCCCCGCTCGTTCGCGCCCGTCGTGGCCCCTGCATACCCTCCGTGGCCCCGCTGTCGCCGTTCGTGGCCCCCTCTCTGCCCTTCGTGGCCCCATTTCTGCCCTCAGCGGCCCCGTCGCTGCCCTCTGTGGCCCCGGATTTATTGCCCTTCGTGGCCCCCGTTCGCTCGCGCCCTTCGTGGTCCCATTCGCATGCGTTTCGTCGCCCCGCTGTCGCCTTTCGCGGCCCCCTCGCTGCCCTTCGTGGCCCACTTTCTGCGCTCAGTGGCCCCGCTGTCGCCTTTTCTGGCCCCATATATGTATGCCCTTCGTGGCCCCCGCTCGTTCGCGCCCGTAGTGGCCCCATATGCATGCCCTTCGTGGCCCAATCCACTCCACATCCCCGCGCTCCTCTCGACACGGTTGCAGTTCTCACTATCCTTCCGCCCCGCTCTCCCAACATCCCGCTTCTTTTCAGGGTTCCACGAAATTTGTTTCTGACACCAGCTCGCAGCTTTAAGTCCCCCCGTGGGGGTATCCACGATATGTTCTTTCAAGGGGATGGTACGTGGCGCTGTTTATGGCGCGACCCATGGCGAAACTTATTGTTAACCTGTGTTGGAGTGGCTGGCGCAAGCCATGGCGCAAGCTGATGAATCGCCACTCGCAACGCAAATCATCGTCCTCCCTTCTTCTTGACCCTCCCCTCCCTTCCTCCAATCCCTTCGTCCTCATTCTCACCCGGTATCTGTTACCCTTCGTTTTCAAGGGCTTCACCAACCACACGTGGCAGGGAACGAATCTACCCCCCAAAAGGGGGTGCGATCGAAGACGAAGAGGGCGGGTATCCAGGGTTTGGGATATGCATATTGAGTGACACGCGAGCAGATAAGACCGAACAGTCTTAAACTGATAGTTGTTGTTTTTGCTGCTGTTGTTGAGTTCTCATTACTGAATAATGCTTGTTGATCCCCGTACGGTGGCCATTGTTGTGTTTTTTCAATTGAAATGCTTCCCCCCGCGCTCGCACCCTGTTTTCAATCAGGGAAAATTCCGGGGCTCAAACTGGGCCCCTGGCCCCTGGTTTACAACAACAACGGCTTCCGCCGGAGACTTCCTCACAATTTATTCACACATCGCGCTCTCGCGCGGGGCATCCTCACAATTCATGTACGTATCGCGCTCTCTCGTGAGACTTCCTCGCAAATTATTCGGACGATGCGCCCTCGGCGCTCAGGAATCACGCTCTCGCTCTGGCTTTTCTCATGATTTACTTCGAAATCGCGCTGTCGCTCGAGACTTCCTCGCGATTCATGCAGGACCCACGCTTCAGCAACCCGCCTGCTCGACCTCGTCGCCTGGGCCCGCCTTCCCGACCTGCCCGCTATGGGTCTGCCCACCCGATCTGCCCGTCTGGTTCTACCACTTGTTGTTTGCTCCTTGCCCCCCTCCTGCTAATTTCTCTCGTGTTCCGTTCTTCTCCCTCCCCCGTCCTCTCTTCCTTTGTTCTAGGGGCTGCACTTAATGCACGTGGCAGGTAAGGCAGCTATACCCCCAAGGGGGTACGATCGAAGACGACGAGGGCGGGTATCGAGGGTTTGGGATATACGAATTGATTGGCACGTGAGCAGATGCGAGCGAACAATCCTGAGCTAATGGTTGTTGCTGTTGTTGTTGTTGTTGTTGTTGTTGTTGTTGTTGTTGTTGTTGTTGTTATTGTTGTTGTTAGTATTGTTGTTGTTGTTGTTGTTGTTATTGTTGTTGTTATGTTGTTGTTGTCGTCGTTGTTGTTGTTGTTGTCGTTGTTGCAGTTGTTGCAATTGTTTGTGTTATTGTTTTTGATATTGTTTTTGATGCTGTTCTTGTTGTAACTTTGAAAAGGATGCATGCCTATAGATCTATTCTTTCTGTCGTGCTAAGCTGTGTTGATGCATGTCCGCACTACGTCCACCTGAACATCCGCCTCTGCAGGCCGCTCGCGACCTCACTGTGTGTTTGTGCGTGTGTGTGTTTTTGGTTGTGTGTGGGGGAGGCGGGCTGAAGCTGCCTTCTCTCCCCCCCTTCCGCCGCATCGAGCGTACAGACAGTTGACCCGCATCATAAGGATGCGCGGTAAGGATGCAACGGCCTTGGAGGGCAATGTTAGCGTTCTTCGAGCGAGGCTGGCCAGCGAAAGTCGCCAAGGATGGACCGAAGGGGCCAGGATGCAAGGGTAGCTTTTGGAAGGCCGCCCATCCTTATTATGCGGGTCGACTGTACGGCAGGTTCGTGCAGTGACGACCACGGCGTTGGTTTCTGACACCGCGTGGATCGTTCAACCTCGAACGATCGGCGGCTTTTCGATCGCCCGATCGTTCCACAAAGGCCGATTCTGGGCCACTGTCGGCGTTCCGCCTTGAACGCCCGCGTCGAGGGCGCGGCTGGTCGACACGACGCGCACCTGCCGTGCCTACTTGCTCTTGTGGTCCAGAACTCCACCGAAGGCTCCTGTGGCAGGGTTCGCAAGCGCCCCCGACGCTCATTCTCGGCGCGTCCCTCGCACGGGTCAATCCAGACCCTGGTCAGCCAGGCCTTGCAGGATCCTGCAGCATCCTGCGCCCAAGCCCGGGTCAGCTTGACCCTGGCCTTGCAGGATCCTGCAAGATCCGGCGCTCTGACTGACGCCCGTTTGCATTGATAGGGGAGCGAAAAAGGACATAAACATAACAACTCGGAGGTCCGCGCCATTCTCTCGGATCGGCGCTGGACCCCCCTCCCTGGCGCGCGGAGCGCGCCAGGGGCGGCGCCGGAGGCGCCGCGGCGGGGCCCCAGCGCCGATCCGAGAAATCCGCGCGGACCTCCGAGTTTTTATGCTTATGCCACTTTTTGTTTCCCTAATTGACCCCAGTCTCTTGAGCCCCGAAGGGTTCGCACGCGCTCCTCCCCGGTCATGCTGGCGCACCCCTCACACGACACGTTTCGTGGTCCCACACGCAGAGAGTCTACGGTCTGCAGGGTCCGCGCCCCCCCCACCCCCCCCAGGCATCTGCCGCTCCTCCGCCTCCTCCCTTTCCTCCTCCTCCTCCTCCTCTCCTCTCCTCCTCCTCCTCCTCCTCCTCCTCCTCCTCCTCCTCCTCTTCCTCCTCCTCCTCCTCCTCCCCTGCCGCCTGTCCCTCAGGCGCCCCGCCCCACGATACAATGGCACACATGCGCGGCAACGCAGCTGCTCGGCGTGAACAGTGAAGCATCATCTGACAGAGACTTCACCTGCTGTGTTCTATACTGGCTTTGGCGGCTACAGAACTAGTCGACATCAAGAGAATAGCAAAATTGGTGGTGTAGGTGCGAAGCCACTCTGGAACACCTTTGTCGGAGTCAGTGCGCGGGGCCTGGAACCCTGGCACCCTATATCCATGAATCATAATTTTGTCAGACCAAGCCCTGGTGTGGAGATTTAGCCCTTTTGCTTTGGTGCAGAACATATCGACAACCGTTCAATTTTGATGTTCCACGGGAAAGGAATACCATAATGCGGGCTTGTGACATGCCTCTCCCTTTGCCTGGCCCAGCAGCTCTCTAGGCTACTACTCCTCCTCTACGAGCTCTCGCAGACAACAGCAAGACTTCCCCAAACAGCCCGAATGCATTCCCTGAGATCGGCCAGGCCCCGAAAGACTGCCCGACGCCACCGGGCGGCAAACCAACAGGCCCCGAGAAGGCTTGAGGCTCCGAGAAGCCTTCAAGTTCCCTTCAGGAGGTTCCAGGGGCGCGAAAGATGACACTCTGAACGCGCCAATTTGGGGGCATCTGCCTTGCCCCACCCTAGGAGGCCAAACCTAATCTCATTTATGCCACCAGACGATCTCCTAGTCGCCCTGGACAACGTCCTGGTTGAGGAGACGCCCCCTGGAAGGATCCAGGACGGACCCAGCGTAGGCCCAGGAGATCGCCCAAGACGGCCCCAAGGCGGCCCCCAAGACTCCCCAGACGGCCCCCAAACCCTCTAGCAGGGCATGCGCAACCTCCCCGACCCAGAGAATCCCTCCTCAAGGTACGGATAGGCTGAAAAGAGGTTGCGAAGATGCCCCGAGAGGCTTTCGAGAACCCCCCAAAAGTTCTGAAGATGCTCTTCAGAAATAGCGAGACAGCCATGCGATGCTAAAGCCGTGCCGCGCTGCAGCGTTGCTACGCAGCTTCCTCATGTGTCGGTGGCCAAGTGCGTAATTGCACAACGAGCTGGAATTCATGAAGCACATCACTCGGTTAGACGGCGAAGCCGATACATCCGATTAACGTTTCGTCAGACGTCTGCCTGTCCGACCTTGGGTATCAACAACATTAATACCGCTCAGAGGTCTTTAGATGACTCCCGGCGAAGCCGCCAAAACAATAAAACAACGTGATGGCGGTTTTCACTGCGTCGCTAAATGTCCTTCGACAAGCTCCTGCCTGACTGTCCAGCTTACCAGCAGCTGAATTAGCACATTGTGCTATACAGCTCTATGCAGTCGAGCATCGGCTGCTACTGTATGCGAACAGCGAAAGTCTCTGGGAAACCCTGTAATACATGCTGGGTCGCACTTACTGCCCAACATCACAAGGCACTGATACTCATGACTTCCTGAACCTGACCATGGCACGCGTTTCTATGCTGCGCCGAGGCCTGCTCTGCCGCGTTCCCTCCACGTCCAACCCGCTGTGCCCAACCCAGGGCGTGCAATTTGCGCTGTGCCCCACCCCGCCCATCCTGGAGTCGTAGTTGCAGAAAATCCAGGCCTCGTCTGTGCCAACTCTCGGGACGAAAGTCCAACGGTGCTGGTTGCGGGCAGATTCAGACATCCCATCTGCTCCCTCTAACGGGCTCAAGTACCCTCTCAGCTGCCCCACGCGGTCTGGCAATTGGATCGGCTTCATTATCCAGTCTCTGGATTCGTCCACACTCTCGGGATGAATAAATGCTAGCGGCGTTCGCTCCGCTGCGTAATCCAACGGGCGCCACACATTCAAGATGTGCCAGAAATGGTCATCCGTCACGGCCTCGCGCCAAAGGGATCTTCTTTGGCTCTCCGAAGAACCCGAACTGACGTTGCCACCACTGATTTCCGTGTCGATTCGGCGCGCAGCACTCTCGACCGAGTAATCTCCGTGAGCATATGCCGCAGGAGGCCTGACCCCGGAGATGCAGCTTGTATTGACGGCATCTGTATTGGCCTCCAGTCTCTGTTGACCAGCGTCCGTCTGCGGCGACAACTCCTCCTTTATCCTGTCGTTGTCGTCCAAGGAGTCGCACCGTACTGTGTGATCGAAGATGACGACCTCCTCCACTCCAGCTAAGGCAGACCGCAATATCCCTTCCACATTCCTCTCGTAGTTTATCCGGTTGCCGGGCTCATTCAAAACGTACTTCTCCTGAGCTGCAGCAATTTCATCACATGTCATTGAACTGAACCCTGTGGCCTTCGGGTCGCAGCCGTGGAACAGTGCCCTGGCCGGGTCCCTGACCAACACAAAACCATTCGCTTTGTAATACGTATCCGCAGCTCCGCACCCCACTGACTCCGCTTCAAAATCGAAATCAGCCCGAATGTCCTCGGCTGCCACCACGTGTCGTTGCATCACGTAGCGGTTCACGCACTTCCCCCTAATCACGGTCATCTCCTCGAACGGAGGCTGGAGACTGCCAGCGTGAAGAGCTCGCTGAAGCGACTCCGAAACTGGATCCCGCAGATGATACAGGACAGTAGCTTTGTACTTTGGATACTTAGCAATGCCATCTGTCTCATAAGCCGGGGATTCTCCCTGGATGGAAAGGGTTGACATCCTCGATGCCACGTCCCAATCGGTCTCGCTCTTCCTGGCTCGATACAAAGATGAAGAGACGGACGAAGAGGGCGAGATTGGGGGGAGGTGGGGAGGCTGAAGGCAGATAAGGATGAGGAAGAAGAGGGTGACGAGGCCTCAAGCCATTTTGGCTCAAGACATTTCTGGCCAAGCCCCCGCGTGCGCGCCCCGCCACTTCTCGAACTAACCTTACAGAACGTCTGCGTCTGATCGCGATGGCATCCTGCCAAGGTTGCGGACACCGCACCGGTGATTGCATCTGTGGGAATGGGCAGGGATGGAGCAGGTCGAATGAGCGTGGTGATCGGGAGCGGGCGCGGCGCGATGCGCGTCCTGCGGAAACACAGGAACCCGATTTCTGGAGCAATATCGAGGATATTCTCGAGAAGAAGGTCGTGAAGCAGCTGGAGCCCAGGTTCGCGAAGCTTGAGCGTGGACAGGCAGAATCTACATATCGTACAAAGGGTATCGAGAAGAGAGTTGCGGCCTTGGAACAAGGTGAGAACAGTGGAGGATGGAAGCCAACCGCTATCGGGATCAAAGGGTTCAGCGAGTTCTCCGAGCGGCGCTCCAAAGGTATCTCTAGGCCACACATGGCGAAGCTGCTGGCAGCACTCAAAGCGAAGCTGGATCCAAGCATTCAAAGCCAGGTCGGTGACTTCGAGATGATCGGCTCGACGAGTAACAAGGTGAAGGTCCATATCACGCCAGGATACGCGCACAATATTGCTAGCATTTGGAAGGACCAATTTTCGAGCGGTGGCGAGGACTTCAAATTCAACGCCCGCGAGCCGTTCTGCCACGCCGAGCGGCATCCTTCCAAGCAGAAGGTTTACGACCAAGGTGGACTCACTATGGCTTGGCTCCGCACCCTGAACAACATCACGGAGGTCCGTTGCACGTGGAAGCCGGATTTCAAGCTGCAGGTCGTCAAGGACACCGGCCACGACACCATCGAAGTCGGCTCCGTCGATACTGCGGGGAATAACCACTGGGATCCTTCGGGGTTGACTGCAATTCGGGAGGGAATGGTCCCTGAGACGGCCAACGAGCAGCTCAAGACCTTCCGGACGACCAATAGGGCTTGATGGGGCCCTGGGGCTCCAATGCACAACAGTTTTGACACCTGCAGTTTTCTTAGTTGGAACACTTGCAGGGAAAGTCATCACAGCGCTCAGCGGGTATGCAAATCTTTCAAAGAGTTTGCGGGGTTGGAGGCTGTGGTCGCTCTACAAGAGGTTTCTTGGCATACGCTAGCAGGCACGGGGTACCATGGTTTCACCATATTTGCATGGGAGGACTCGGAGGCAGCCTTTCTAATCCCTAGACGTTGGGTGCCAGGCATTGTCGCTGAGAAGGCTGGTCCTTGTTGGGCTGGTATCGTCATTTTCGACGTCTTATTCCTCTCGGTTCACATGCTAGACCACTGCATCGAGCACGGCCGCGGGGACGACACGGTCACTGAAGTTGTCGATTTTGTCAAGCAGATGCAGCGGAACCTCGCGAAATCACATTTGAAGATCGTTTTAGGCGTGGATTCGAATTGTACTCTCCTGCCCAACGTGGACGGCTTCACGGGCAGCGTCACAGCGAGGCCTGCTAGGAGCCAAACAGCAGGGATGCGTAACTTAGTTTTGTAGATCTTGGGATCTTTGGAAGCACGTGCTTTGAATACTTTCGGAGCCAGGGCAGCCATCGGCGATGACGATTTGTGGACTTGCAGAGTCCGGCGGCCGCAACAGAATCGAACTCAGATCGATTACATCGGGGTTTCTGCTTTGGTTGATGGTGAAGCGCACCCTGTCACTATCCAGAACCGTTGTTTTCTCCGCTCTGATCATCGCCCAGTCTGGTCTGCGCTACGATTTCAAAGTCCAGCTGCCGTTCCCCATCACCCGAAGAAGACTATGACAGGGTGGGCCCCGGCGGACGCTGAGGCCTTGCATTCTTTTCAGACGGCGTGCGCGAGTATGCCATTCCAGCGCATGCAGCTGGACGACCTGCAAGCCTGCATTATTCGAGTGGCTGGGTCTCGAAGGTCAGAAAACCGTCGCACGCCACCTCGGAACGCGAACGTGGTCCAGGAACAGTCGGGGCAACGCGCGGTGAGGTCAGACGCTCTTCTGGCCAGGCACGCCGGGACTCGGTCATCCTGCTCCGGAGGACACGTCGGGCCAAACGAAAAGAAACCAACACCAATCGATTACTTACGATCTCTCTTCACGCCAGACGCGAGTGCGCTTAGCCCTTGAAGCTGGAGGTTGATGGGGAAACTACGGTGGAGCGCAAGCGTTGGCTTTCCGAGGCGCTCCGTTTTGGCATTCGACGGTTCACGGCTTCTGCGAACACGCCTGGGGCACAGAAAAGACGATTGGACAAACGCGGAGGTGCACGGCGAGGACACCAATTGGACGGACGTTGCGAACCTGCTATCAAGTTTTTTGATGTGCTGAACGGCCGGGCCAAGATGAAGGCAGGCACCGCTGGTGGTCAGGACCAGGCCGTGCCCGAGATCTTCAAGGCCTTGCCATACAGCGTAGTATTGAGAATCTGGCGCTTGTTTCGTGAACGACAACGGCACCGTGACTCTGTCGACCCGGAGTCGTGGAAGATCATCAACTTCATAGGGCTCTCCAGAGTCCGACACCCTTTCAAACTGGATCTTTTCAGATGGATTGGCAAACTCAGCTGTTTTCTGGAATGATACATGCAGAGTTTGCGACCGACCTATAATGCGCAGCTGAGGCCATGCGGAGTCCACACGTTTGGTTCTAAGGCTGGCAGGCGTACCTGCGACATTACCGCCTTGTTGAAAGAACTGCTACACCATGCAGCAACGTGGTAACGGAGCATATACATATCCTCACAAGACGTGGAGATCGCATTCGACGCCATGTTACACAGCTCCTTGGCAGTTGGCATGTTGCGGAGAGGTCTTCACCCCGGGAGCGTGCAGTCCTTGATGCGGGAACTTTCTGGTTTCAGTGCGAAGATCTCTTTGCCTGGTGCTGGCGACACCGATGCATTTTCCTTTTCTCGTGGCGGTGAACAGGGAGGAGTCGAGACGCCAGACAAATTCAACCTTCTAATGGAAAGCTTGATGTTTCCGGTAGTTACCCGTTGGTGCACATCAGGGTACGGATTCAAATTGGACAGCGGCCGCCTGATGAACAATTTGGTCTGGGCAAATCACGTGTGGCTCATCGCCGAGAAGTTGGTGCACCTGGAAGCCATGATCAGAGAACTTACCAAAGCTGTTTCTTCCGCTGGTCTGTCGTGGAGGGGCTGCTTGCGGGGAGCACTGCCGAGTGGAAGCCGTGCGGAAGGGCCAGGCTACAGTATACAATTGCGTCGAACAAATGGAAGTCCTCGGCAGTCTGCTCAGCCGGGCGGGGAATGATGTCATCATGGTCAACCATCGTCTGCACAAGGCTGAACAGTTGTTTTGGCGGCACTCGAAGGAGTTCCTTGACCCAGGCACGATCCCGCACAAATTGAAGGCGTGGGAGGTGGGCCCCAGCGCTTCGGCATGCTTTGATTGTTCAACGTGGACGCTCAACAAGGGCCTGCTCCAGCGCACCCGGAGATGGGAGTTGCGGTGGGTTCGCAAACTTCTGCGGCTCCGGCGCCGTCCCGACGAAAGTGCCATGCAGTACAACGTGCGCACGAGCAAGAAGATGACCCAATGGTTCGCTGCTTCGAAAACAACAATGCTCCATGAACGCATCCTCAAATCTATCCACACAGGTGTATGGCGGGAGCGTGTGGTGGCGCAGGCAGAGCACGGCAACCTGCTCTCAGACTTGAGGGTGCAGCGCAGCCGGGCAAAGTGGGTATGCGTCAAACAGGCGTTGCTCAAGCGACGGCGTGCCGAGAATTGGGCCCATGGCCGTCCTGGTTGCATCAGTGAATGGGAGGACATTCTGGTATTGCATGTTGGAGAGCAGTGGAGGCATCTGAGAGACCAGTGTGCGCACCAAGCCGACTGGAACGCCACCTACAGACCCTTTGCCGATGCCATTTGCGATGCTTGGAGGTTGCCGCTTCGACCGCGTCGCCAAGCCGTGTCGAAAGTATCTGCCAGACGTTCAGACCAGAAGCGCGTCGAGGAACCTGCTGTCGACCAAGAATTGGATATACATTGGGATGCGCCGCTAAACAGGTTCCTCTTCGTCATCGATTGCCAGCCACTGCAGCGCATCGTGTGCGGCCACATGGATTTGCGAATCGACAGTTGTAGGTCGCTCGTTCAGCGCATCGTTGACAACATCTGCGAAGTTGTCTCTTGTGGCAGGCCACCGCCAGAAGGTGCGAGAACCCCGGTGCGCTGGGCCAACCGGAGCAAGAACACAGCGGCTGATCACCTCTGCAATCGCACCACGGACGTCGTCAAAGGCGCCTGGAGGGAAGAGCGTAGCTTGAACATCCCACTAGGCAACAGTATTGTGATATTCTCAGATGGTGGAACACGGGCGACATGTTCAGCTAGCGCATGGTTAATGACGGCGGTGCTGGACAACAATGGTGTGGAAAAGTATGTCCCCATAGTCGCAGCCGGAATTTCTTTCGAGAACCCGATCAGTTCATTCCATGCTGAAGCAATCGCTTTGGAAAACGCCTCCCTGGAGATGTTACGGTGGTGCAAGTGAGTGAGAATCCCGACAGTTATGTGCATTCTTCTCTGTTGTGCAATGGAGCTCTAGGGTAGCATTGTGGAGCTTTACCCCTCCTGAAAGAAAGGAAGAGGGTGACGAGGACGGGTAGGCTGAGGAAGAGGGAGGAGAGAAATTGCATTAGAGAGAAGACATTTGAGAGGAAGGAGGATGGATGACGAGGAGGAAGATGAGTGAGGAGAAGGAGGAAGGAGACGGGTCGGGGAGGAGGACGAGGATGACTGTTTCGACGACGTTGGTGTTGACGAGTGTGATGATCTCACGCGTAAGACCAAGACGCGGATGATCGGTGTGCAGGGATATATTCCGGATTTCACAAGACAAGGGGGGAGTCTGCTTC